AGTTCTGTTCTGTTTATTTCAGATTGATTGGGTTCACCCCAGTTTAGTTCAAATTTATTGCTTTCAATGCGGTTCAGTTTAGATTAAACTGATTGGGCTCAGATCACTTTAGTTTAGTTTGATTGGGTTCTGTTCATTTCAGTTTATTCAGCTTGATTGGGTTCAGTCCTTATTAATTCAGTTTGATCGGGTTCAGTTTAATTCAGTTTTGATCAAAATTGACTGGGTTCAATTCAGTTCAGCTAAATTCAGATTAGTTTAGTTTGCTTTGTTTCAGTCTGATTGAGTTTAGCTAAGTTTGGTTTATTTCAGATTGATTGGGTTCAGTTATGTTTATTTTAATCCAGCTTAGTTATTTTCATACTGATTTGATTCAGTTCAGGCAAGTACACTTTAATTCAAATTGACTGGACTCACTGGAGTTCACTTCTATTTATTTCACTTTGTGTTCAGGTCAGTTCAGTTTAGTTCATAGTTATTGAGTTAATGCAGTTCAGTTAAGTTTAAATTGATTGGTCTAATTTTATGCTTAGTTCAGTTCAGTTTGCTTTGAGTCAATTCAGTTCAGTTTAGTTCAGTTTTATTGGATTCAGGCTGATTAAATTGAATTTATATTGGTTGGATTCAGTGCAGTTCAGTTAAATTGAGATTGGTTCAAATAGATTGTGCTTCAGTTCTGGTCTGTTCTATTCTTTTTAGTTTTATAGGATTCACTTCAGTTTAATTCAGTTTGGTTGGGTTTAGTTCAGTTCAGTTTAGGTTAGACTGACTGGGCTCAGTCCAGTTCTATTTAATTTGAATTGTTTGGGTTCTCTTTCATTCATTTTAACTGAAGTAAATCCCATTCAGTTTAGTTCAGCTTCATTGGATTGGAATCAGTTCAATTCAGTTTAATTCATGTTGATTGGATGCAATTCAGTTGACTTAAGTTCTGATTAGTTTAAACTGTGCTTCAGTTCTGTTCTGTTTACTTCAGTGCGATTGGGTTCAGTTCAATTTTATTCAGATTGAATGGGTTTAGTTCAGTTCAGTTTAGTTCAGATTGATTGGATTCACACACATACACCCCCACACATTTTCTAAGCCGCTTATCCTTCTGGGTCGCGGGGGAGCTGGAGCCTATCCCAGCGGTCTGATTGGGTTCAGTTCAGTTCAATTTAATTCAGATTGATTGGGTTCAGTTCACTTCAGTTTACTTCAGTTTGACTGGGTTCAGTTAAGTTTAATTCAGACTGAGTTCAGTTCAGTTTAGTTTAATTCAAATCAACTGTGTTCAGTTCATTTTAGTATGAATTGATTGGTTCAGTTTAATTCAGTTTAGTTCAATTAATTTCCCTTTGATTCTGATTTACTTGGTTATGGTTATTCAATTTTGATTTGTTCCACTTCCATTCAGCTTATTTCAGTTTGGGTTCAGCTGAGCCTTATTTTGGTACAGTTTGGCTAGTCAGCCACTCCAGATTGTTGTGCTGGTGATGCCGGTGAAAGAGGTGGGTGGTGATGATGTCTGGCTGTATGAGATCAGCACTGAGCTGCGATAATGATTGAAAAATCCTCCTGTAATGAGCGATAAGTCCTCTAATGATCTGTAAACTCGGCAGGCACTAAAGTTTACAGCCCCGACATTTACTGATAAACTTTGACTTTGTAGTGCAGCGCTAGATTGCGCATCACAATGTGGGCTTGTTTGGGTGTGTGTGTCTGAGGTAAAGCTGGCAGAGTCCAGTGCTTATATGAAAGGTTTACAAAGCATGGAAGAAAACTGACCGCAGTACAGAGGGAAAAAGTAGTTTGGAGCTCATCCAGTTTACACAATTCACCCCTTCCTTACTCCAAATGTTGTCAGACAAGCTTGACTTTAGACCTTAGCTTTCTACTAGAGCTATGAAGCTGATGTAGCTAATAATTAATGAGTGTTTATACTCTGCCAGTTAGCATTATTCATCGCCAATTATATAATCAATTCAGAGTGGCTTGGCATGAAATGGTTCAGATGTCTTTACAGTGGTGGTGATAGGAACCAGGGGTCACCATGACTACAACACCACCAGTGAACCTACAAGAATCTTCTGAGTTTTCTATGGAATGTTGATGATGGTCAAATGGTGGAAAATCTGATAATAATACATTTTCTTGGGGCCTATTTTGTCTCGCAAGGCCCTGCACATATCCCTCCACCATAAATGTATATAATAACATGTAGGCCTAATTCCACTTCTTTACTCTGTTGGCAGGGCTGGCTCTAGCATTTTGGGGGCTCCCCATCTGTCGAGATACCCCCCAAAACCGTTCCCTGGTCCATTCCCTGATTAATAAATGATTTTGATTGGTTCAAAAGGTTTTCAAAAAGTTGGGAAGAGGTCAACAAAAGAAAAACAAACTGGCATATATATACAGGAAACACTGTGTGTGGCTTCACATTGAACTGTATTAAATTACTGTATTGAACTGAAGCCCATACTGTACTGTCTGTGTGATGTGTAATTAAAATGAAAATGTTCATGGTGATTTGCTGAGATATTGGTCACCATACTGGACCAAAGACTACAAATGAGGTCCAGCAGGGAAACTGCACTCTGTAGCCAAACCGGTTGACCAGTTTCGATTCAGTTTGCTCTCAGTGGAGCAGTGAAGGAAGACTGTGGACCCCATAGTCTTATAGGCATTAAACTCTCCGGACGTCTGGTTCCCTTCACCACCCTTGTGAACGGTTCTGACCAGTGCTGCAGTCCGGCGAACACCCACGTGTGCTGACTTCTACAGATGCGTTTTGGCGTGAACCGCTTCCAAAACCTCTCACGCGAGTTTGAGGAGCGTGACTGTACGGCGTCCTGATTAATGAAGGCTTCTGATTGGTTTGTCTGCCCAGTGAAGCTCTCAGAGCCGCTCTTGGTGAATGAACTGTAAACAAATGGGTTAATTGACGTAGCACTTGCAGAGCGCGTGCGCTGGGCTCGCGCAGGTTTACAGTGTACAGTGCTTTGAGGTCTCGGTGACTTGGGGTGAAGGAGGAATAAACAGGGCTGATTCACCGACACGCTCAACTGTGGCTTTAACTGACCGTGTTCAGGCGGAGCTCAGTGTGTGAGTGTGTGTGTGTGTGTGTGTGTGTGTGTGAGTGTGTGTGTGTGTGTTTAATAAAGGGGCGATTTGTGGAAAAAATGTGGAATTATGATGTTGCTGAAATAATAATGACACAATGACACATTATTAATGACAACCTAATAACAATAATAATAATAATAATAATAATAATAGTAATAATAATAATAATAATTCAGTGTAGAGAAGTAAAAATGCGCGTGCTTCTTTTATTCTTTTAGCAGAGTAAAATATTTGGTGCGTCATCAAAACTGAAAACAAATCAAAACAAAACAAACATCAGCGATAAACATCAACAGACAGGAGCTCTTAGTAAAGTATAAACAAATACAGCAGAATAAATACGTTAATGGGAAAATAGAATATAAACAAATAGAAACGCACAACAAACTAAATAAATCAATTCAAATATAAAAACTGAAGAACTTTATATTTATATAATTGAATAAATAAATAAAAAAAAATATATAAATATATATATATAGTGATCAGGGTCTGTTTATTGTATTGTAAGCATTCCAAAATCCCCCACAGTGCTGTATTTTATATATTCTATATGATAAATAAATAAATAAATAAATAAATAAATAAATAAATAAGTTGGTTCGTTAAAACTGTCTTTTAAGATGTCACATCCGGGTTAGTGAGCTCACCTGTGTTAAACACAGCTATGTGTTGTGAACAGAAAGAAGAGCTGAGCTCTCAGTTTAATCACACGCGCGCGCACAGACTGGAGAGGCGCGCGGCTCACACACTCACATTTACACTCACACACACACACACACACACACACACTCACACACTCTCTCTCTCTCATACGCGCACACTGTTCCTCGAGCTCAGATGATTTAATCCGAAAAAGCTGCACAACTCAAATAACATTTAACAATTCTGTTTATTATGTATTTTTCTTTTAGATTTTTACTGAAATAATAATAATAATGATATTAATAATAATAATAATAATAACAATAATAATAAAGTAGAGTGCAGAAAACACTCTTCATACACACACAGATATTCAGGTATTCACTAAATTAATCTTTATGATCTGTGTGTGAATCATTATTAAAATCATTATTATTATATGTTTATTTGAATATTTCAGCTCAGATTATTAAAATAATCAAGTTCTCATTATTTTATAATCGGAGAATAAATCAAATACTGTTAGATTTAGACTGAATTTACATATTCAGATTTTACCTTCATGCTTTATTATTATTATTATTATTATTATTATTATTAACCTATTATTATAACTATTAACCCATTAGAAGTGTATTATTTTTATAATTCTTATCCCGTTATCTGTAATACTATTAATACCGTATTTATAATAATAATAGTAACAATAATAATAATAATAATAATAATAATAGGAAGAAGAAGAATCTATTTTTTCTATTTTTCAATTACTTCTTTTTCTGTAGTAGTTGTTGTTTTTCTTCTTATTAATATTATTATTTTTATTATATACTTTTAATTATAATTATTAATAATTGGTAAAGTGTCTGTAATGAGTGTACAGTCATTCACTGACAGACTCAGAGACGTGTTCTCCATTCAGACTGTTAATAAATGTTACAAATGATAAATGATCAGTGCAATAAAGTGACTGTGGAGCTCAGCCAATCAGAGCTCAGTCTGCCACCTCAGCCAATCAGCGCTCACTTAAACAGCACCATCCAATCAGCACTTACTCACTTAGCCAGACAGCATTTACTTATTCACTCCAGCAAACACCCAGCCAATCAGTGCTCACTCAGCCACCTCAGCCAATCAGCACGCACCTAACTGCAGCCAATCAGCACTCAGTCAAACAGCTCTAGCCAATCAGCTCTTGCTCAGTCCCCTCAGCCAATCAACGCTCTTTCAGTGCTCTGTGGACTGAGTGGTGGAGCTGCAGTCTGTCTCAGGTTCCCACGCTGGGCGTCTCAGTCTCAGTGGTCACTCTGGTCATGGCTGATTCTGAGAGCAGTAGGGTGGTGAAGTGGGGTCCACTCTCAGGACAGTAAGGCCAAGAAGAACAACCTCTGTCCAGCAAACAATTCTTCCAGGTTCTTTCATGCAGCGACCCTGTTGACCAGCACCCTCAGCTCCAGCCTCCCATACTGACCTCCAGAGCTACAGCCATGGAGTCAAAGTCCAAGAGCTTCAGGATTGACGCCCTGCTGGCTGACGAGGCTCACCGGACTCACCGAGCCCACAGAGGTCACCGGGCTCCATCTCCATGCCCCAGCGCTGACAGTCCTGCGGGCAGCCCGACGTCCTGTCCGTCTCCCCGTGCCATCCACCTGCAGCCCGGGGTCGTCCCCAAGCCGGGCCTACTGGGCCTGACCCACCCGGCCCTCTCGTCTCTGCCACAGGGGTCCATCCCAGCCGTCTACCCACCACCCCTGTACCCCGTTTCAGTTTTAGGAACCCAGCACTCACCCCTGGGGTACACCACTTTCGCCCACCCGGAGCAGCTGAAGGCAGCGGCGGCGCTGGAGGGATGGATCAGGGCTGGAGTCATGCTGCCGCGCCTGCCCGACTACACTGGTCAGTCTGCACCTCTGTCCACCTACTCAGTGTTTATATCAGTTCATTTAGTTACACTGTTTTATTCGCTCCAGACCAGCAGCTCTTTATCAGAGCGATTTTCATTATTTTGATGCTGTTGAGTCCAGACTACACTGGTCAGTCACCACCTCTGTCCACCTGATTACAGTAACTCTGTTAAACTTTGTATACTGATTGTTATTAGGTCATTTACTCCTGACAACACTGGTCATAGCAGTCAGTTCCGCCTTTATTTAGAGTTATTCACTGCACTGGTCAGTCACCACCTCTGTCCACTGATTTATTTATTCATTCATTATGTTACAGTTATTTTTAGTGTTATTCACTGCTGAGTAGATCTATTCATTTATGTATTTTAATACAATCATTTTTAATGTTGTTTATTATTTACTAACAGTTGTTTAGTATCTAGTTTTACTAAACCATGTTTATTGTCATTTAAAGTTACTTTATTTATTAAGCAGCTAATTTATTTAATCACAGACATTTTTATTATTGTTTAATATTATTTATTGATTGTTATTTATTAGCTTGCTTTATTTATTTGTCACGTTACTGTCGTCTTTATTATTATTTAGTAGTATTTTACTTATTGTAGATTATATAAATATATGAGACAAAGAGAGAGAAATAAAACACAGAGAGAGAAACAGAGAGAGAGAGTGATATAAATAGAGAGAAAATGGAGATAGAAGTACATAAAGGGACAGAAATTTAGAGAGAGAGAGAGAGAGAGAAACAGAAAGAGAGAGATTTAGAGAGAGAGAGAGATTACAGTGAGAGTATTACAGAGAGAGAGATATTGAGAGAGATAATAGAGATAGAAAGAAAGACAAATAGAAACAGAGAGAGAGAGATTCAGAGAGAGAGAGAGAGAGATTCAGAGAGAGAGAGAAACAGAGAGAGAGAGAGAGAGATTCAGAGAGAGAGAGAGAGATTCAGAGAGAGAGAGAAACAGAGAGAGAGAGAGAGAGAGATTCAGAGAGAGAGAGGTGCGGCTGTTGAAAGCAGTGTGTTGTTACTGGGTGATGTGTGGGTCATCAGTGAGTTTCTGGCTGTGATCTGATCACTGATTAACCTGAAATCAGACAGTTGAGAAAAACCTGAAAGCAAAAATGAAAGTAGGAATTTAAGAAACTGACAGATTAACAGATTAAAAGTCTCAGTGCTTCAATCAGCCTGGGCTGTGAAACACAGGGTATCATTAGAGTGACTGTAGATGGACATAAACACAGTGAAGAGGATGAGGAAGGTCAGTCTGAGACCCTCAGAGCTCTGAAGATCCAGATTTCTCCCCCACACTCTCTGACCTGTTACCTTCATCAAAACCTTTCATAACTGATGTATTTTTCCAGGGTGTTAAAGTTGCACTGAAGTTCCATTTCTAACTTGCCCTGTTTACATATTTTCACTTATTGGGGTGTTCAGACTTTCACACAACTGCACATAAAATCACTGCGTTAATATTAATACTACATATTCTAATATTGGTATTTTCTGTGAACTGTGCAGATGAGTTTTAAAAATTTTGTCTAATTTTTAAAATTTCTAATTCTCATTGTCTAAAACTCTGCAGATTAAATATATCATCAAAAATGAGCAAACTACATTTATCGTTTATTTACTCGTTCGCTCGTTTATCTACCCATCCTTTAAGCTTACATATCAGATTAAATTATCAGCAAATTACACCAGGCAGAAATAATATTTAATAGTAAAACTAATAAAATTCTTATTCTTATTATTATATTTTAATACATGAACAAAATATGAGGTATAATAATAATTATTATAATAATAATTAGTGCTAGTAGTAGGACTATTTACAGTTCA